CGTGAAAAATAGCGCAAATTCGATAAAACAAAACAATAACTGGAAAAAGAACAGTCCTGTACAAACTGTACCATGATGTTGAAGTTATGTCACATTGTAAAAAAGTTATGGGATCAGAGAAATTTGAGGATTTAAGTAAATGAGAGTATTAAAAAATCCAGCCACTTCCTAGCTGTGAAAATCTTCTGTTAAATTTTTTTAGCAAACTGTGATCATCTGAAAATTCTAAAAGTTAAAATTTCTCTCCGCTCCTCAAAAAAAATTATTCCGTCTCATTGTGAACTGATCTGCTGGCATAATATTTAGTAGCGATTTGGAAATTGTGGCAGTGGTAGCCGAGGAAACCCCGAGTCAACCATTCCATTGTAATTCATTCCGGTCCCGTATGCACCAACATTACCCGTAGAACCTGTAATGAACAGCAAAGATTAACGCTGTATCCGGAAGTCAGGCAGCAGAGAGGTCTGAAGAATGATTTTACATTGTCCATCCTCTCTTCACGGTGGGCCAGTTTTCACATTTCGAATTCATTAAATTGGCTCAAATTTGTAAGAAGTCAGGTCAAGAAAACTGCTTTTACGTTTGTGGCTCACGCTTGTTTGCTATCAGTAATCCATCAGATGAATTTATCCAGGCGAAAAACACAGACCGATTTGATTTTGCAAGCAAAAAAATTATTCCATTTACAAAGCAAAATAAACAAAACTGTACCATAAAAGTAGCCAATACGCGGGGGCTGATAGAATTCGGCAGGAGATTGGGCAACGGCAAGAGACTGAGAATAGTAGTTTGGGAAGATTCCTGCACTTGCACTAGATGCACCAGCTGTTGCCAGAGCATTCCAGACAGGCCTTCGGTTATACGCATTTTGTGCATTCCAAGCCAGTTGATTATGTAAGATGCCATCCACTACAGATGCTTCGGTGAGGCGTATTGATGGAAATGGTACAGCCGGTTGCCTCGTTTGACGTTTCGCCTTTTTCACTTCATACTGAAAATGAATCTGTGAGTGAGTGTGCCACACAATGTGACATTACTTGCGCAACGCTATTTCGATGTTACGCTTATTTTCGCAATGGCGCAGATAGCCGTCCTCCTTGTCGTTAACTCAGACATATGTAGGCAGCTTCTGTTCCCTGCCGGCATTTTCCTCTGCATCTTCTTCAGGTAGCGAAGCAACATTTACAGCCTGCCCGATCCAATCTGTTGCCTCTCATTCTTATGATATCACTAGTTTCTCACTGCGAATTCTCTCACAGTGAAGCGCGTCACATCAAGGTAAAACTGCAGCACGATATCGAAGTACTAAGATTTTTTTTTCCTTGGTGCTTATATATAACAGCAAACCTCGTGCCCATCGATGGTCTGTTTCGGTTCAGCCACAGCCAACTTTCCCGCTTCCTGACCCTCAAACACGATAAACGCGTAACTGCGTCGAATTCTTGTACTTCGGTCCATCGGCCATTCAATATTTTTGATATGACCATACTGCCCGAAGTGAGAGAGTAATTTGGCTTCTGCAAAGAACATATCGTACTCCATACAACCATCAGAATGCACTTGATAATGTCCAGAATTAGAAACAGAAACAAATTTATAAAAAATATTTAGAAACCTGTGCAATCTGAAGGGATGCTTCCAACATACACTTTAGATTCCCGTGGTAATGGCGTTTTCACTTGAGCTTGTTTTCCCTTGATAATCTGATACGGAGTGGCCAGAGCTGCCTGGCAAGCTTCAGGGGTTTCAAAGATAACAAATCCAAACAAACGAGAAAGGCCATTGGGATGATATTTCACCACTGCAGAGGCCACCCCGCCGTACATCGAGAAATGATTCTTCAGATCAGCATCGGAAACATCAGCTCGTAAGCTGCCAATAAATATTTTCCTGCAAATACGAGCCATTATTTATTCTCGAGTCATTACAGCGACACTTTTTAAGAATATAACACCGAAGTGTTGCATTTTAAACGCACTTCCCTAGTTTATTTTGTTTGGAGCTGGTGAAAAAATCCGAGAACCACTTCTCGATCCTCACAAAGGAAAATATCATCCCTTGCTCATTTAGGTCACCTATCAGCAGCCCGCTTGCGCTTAACAATTCCAAGCTCCTTCTGCACTTACTCGCTCTGAGAGGTCACTGCATTCGGAAGTGATAAAAATTACTGCTCATAGGCGGATCCAGGGCAGTTTCCTGGAAGGGCGGAGGAGACGATTAGGGCGATTTTCCTCCTCCCCCTCCCCCTGCCTCTTCCCTCACCGCTCCTAGTGACAACAACCAGGAAGGGGGAAGAGGCAAAAAGAAAGTGAGGTTCCTGGGAAGAGGGGGAGGGGGGAGCGAAACGAGAGTTGTCGAAGAGAGTTTTTTTCGCTTTTAGCACTGCTACCTGTGCCACTGGGAGGAGGGAGGTGAGAGAGGGGACACGAAAGACCCATGCCCCCCCTCCCCCCCTTGCCCCTAGATTCGCCAATGTCATTGCTTGCTTACAAGTTTCTCGACTATAGTAGCTTCCTCCTCCCACACACAATTTTAATTAGAAAGAAGCCGTTTTTATAAAAAAAAAAACAATGCCAATAAGACTATAAGCCACTTATGCTCAGTTTTATTTTCCACAGCACGCTGCTCGTTGAGCGATGCGTCGCCTCCGGCACTTCCGTTGAGTTCGGCAAGATCAATTGCTGTCCCTCCGTTTGCATGGCCCTTCGATAGCGTCGACGACGGATCTCCACTGCCATTGCCATTATCATTCCCACTAGAAACTGGATCGCCACTTGCGCCTACCATACTTCTGTTAGTTTGCTGAATTTTACCATTTTCAGAACTCCTTTTTATTATAACCTGAAAAACCATCGGTTGTTCGTTACCACATAAGGGGCAGCTGAGTTTCTCCTTTGGGAGGTTCAAAAAAACGCAATTCCAGTAACCTCCGCATCCCACACACATAAACTCCTGCAGCTCGCTCGCTCACTACGCCTCCTTTCATCTGGATACGTTACTTTCTGCTTCCACCCCCCAATCCCCCCGGGACTTCTCGAACAGATGCGACTTGTGCCTTCTCATTTTTTCCACGCACGACTGTATGGGTGAAAGCGATCTCGGGAACCACACGAGCTAAGGAGCTGAAACTTAGTACCGATATTCCCTGTGCATGTATTAGTTAAAGATTTCAAATCCAGCCCCAGCTATGCATGGTATTCAGGTAAGGGCGT